CTCAAACTTTGCTATGCTTGATTGCCACAAAGAGATGTTGCTAACGATTCTGCACACTCAGGTTTTCATATGCGCAAGTGAGGCACAAGCTTATGTGAGAAATGATACTGCAGCACAAGATGTACTTATATGCTTATAAAATTTATATACTGTTCAGACTGGCTGAAGGGTTAAATGGGTGTCAAAACTGTTCGAAATTAGAATTTTGCTTGCGTTTAATGCGAAATTTAGACGTGTAGCACAGCTGGATTTAAAGAGTTCAGACGCATGTGAATAGTAAATATCCTTTTAAAATTTCAGCATTTTAGTTTGTCTGTAGCGCAAATCACCTTCTCACTGTAAATATATTTGTCGTGTTCATGCGTGTGACACAGGCGTAGACCAAAGCTAATTTTATTATGCGTTTTTTGCAGCTATGCAATGCAGAAAACGCATATTGACGAAGGGCTGTCTGTGTGTCTGTATGTCCGTCATGCACTTTCATCTCAAGACCTATGAAAGCTGCGGGGCTGAAATTTCGGGAACTTATTCTACATGCACGTGCCGGCCCCAATCCCCAGAATGGGCGCCAAAACCCGTGTGAAACCCGCGTACGGGTCCGCCAAAATTTTTTTGGGGTAAGTTCACAACTCGGGGATCTGAGAAGCTAGAAGACTGGGATTTTGAAGGGATGTCTCCTGGCAGTTCTGGCGGCCATTCTGGAATTCTTTTAGCTAGAAGCATCTGCCAGAAAAACCAGAGCCGTTAGCGACAAAAATCTGCGGGGAGCTATGCAAAAAACGCATCTTCGCACGGGCTGCCCGTGCGTTGGCCAATTATTATGCGTTTTTGCCTATATGCAAATTGCGAAAACGCATATTGCGACGACCCTGCCTGTGTATGTATGTGTGTGTGTGTGTGTGTATGTGTGTGTGTGTTCTTCTATCCGGGTATTTCAAGTTGGCAACCAAGCAAGTTTCAGCGCCAAGATTTTGCTAGCAGGTTCCCCGGCCAAGTGCCACCCCAGAACCGCGGTTCTGCAAGTCTGGGCCCCGCGCACGAGGAGGTGAATGTTTGGGCGGGAAAACTGATAACTCGGGAACGAGGAAAGATAGAAAGTTGAAATTTTGAGATCATGTTCCCCGTCTCCATAGAACTTAAAAATTTCAAATTCAGCTTCCAAGTGTGTGTGTTCCCCGCGTGCGGCTCCGTGAAATTTTTCGGCGGGAAAAAAGCTAACTCGGGAAATAGCAAAGCTAGGAAGCTGAAATTATCACGGGACTTTCCCAACCCGCGTACGAATTAAAGTTATCAAATTCACTCCTCAGGCATGCGCAGTTCTCATATACGGCCTCGCGAAATTTTTTGGCGGGAAAGTGGTTAACTCTGGAATTAGCATGGCTGGGAGGCTAAAATTTTCATGGTATGTCCCCAGCATAGGTGCAACATAAACCTATCAAATCCAACTCCCAGTCGTACGTGGCTCTCACGTATGGCCCCGTGAGAATTTTTGGCAGGAAAATGGCTAACTCGAGAACTAGCAAAGCTAGAAAGCTGAAATTTTCACGGGATGTTCCCAGCTCATGTACGGCTTAAAATTATCAAATTCAGCTCCTAGTCGTACGTAGTTCTCACACACGGCCCCGTGAAACTCTTTGGCGGGAATTTGTTAAATTGTTAAACCGCTAAACGGAAGTTGCTTATTTGCTTTTATGCAAAATTTACGATAATTTACGGTACTGAGTGCACAAGATAGGTGTGAAGAAGCAACCGTTCATGCAGTTAACCTAATTCAAGTTTGATGCAAAAACGCATGATCGCACCAGCTCGCCTGGTGCGTTCTAGCCTGGGTTTTTACGGAAACGCATATGGGGCAGTAAATGACTTCCTAAAATAAGAACATTCTACGCAGGCTTATTTCCGAGTTGGCACTTTGCCAAAGATGTTCTGATCTAAACTTTGATGTATTCGCGTATGAGTTTCTCGCGTATTTTCACAAAATATTCTTTGAAGCAAGCTTGCAATTCCTGCTCTGTTCTGTTGGCCAGCACAGTCAAATATGAATTCAGCCTGGAAGCATTTGAAGTAATCATTGAAAAATGCAGCAAGATATAGAGGGTGTTAGTAAATGAGTGTAGGGACTGTTTTTTGGACAAGCGACTGAGATGATCACAGATTACGAATTAAAAAAATTTGCTTTTCAGAATTTGTATTGCTCGATGTGGTTGAAAAATTAACAAATCTGACCTGAGGTGATAAAACAAAAACAAGGGGTTTTTAATGTCGATTGCTTTGTTTACAAATCACATTGGCTGGATTAAATTTTAGCCTCCTTTCACTGCATCTACTGGTTTGCAGTTATCAGAGTGCCATTTTTGGATATGTTTCTGCCAATGATTAGAATTTTGAGCTACCATAAACACAAAAATTCCTGAAATTTTCAGTTTCCAGGCTTGGAAAATCGGAGCAAAGAACGGACATGTATGACTTATGACATATAAAGCATATGTGGTTAATGATCATGAATTGCAGAGCGTTGCGAGTGTGGCAATGGGACGATGTATTATTATAAATCGGTGGTGAGCACATCCTGGTTCGATATTCTTGCCAGGGCTAAACAGTCCGTTGATTTATCATGCGCTGCGATGGGTTCCATGTGTGTGTGCGATATTTCGGATATTTGCTACACTGCCACAAACTCCACAGTACATGCTGTGCTTGCGTCCTACTGTAGCAGAGGTATTGCTTTTCCTCAAACCAAGCTTGGCAGCCCGTAGAAAAGCTGCCCTCGGTGGCAAAATGTAGAATCATTGAGAGGAATCAATAATTCATGTTGCGTGAGGAAAAGACGAGAAACCGAAGACAGAGGACACTAATTTCAGTTCGTTCTGGAAACAACTGTAACTTCCACCTCTCAAATGTTCTTTGGAAAACCTCCCTTGCGCCGTGCAGGAGTTGTGTGCATGATGGATTCTCCCAACGAGACTCGGTCACTAACGAGGAAGGCACCGACGTTAAAAGCTGCTGGACGTCGATCCGCTGTTTCCTAGCGGAACGGTGCTCGGCGACGAATCTATAAATTTTATTTCACAACGAAATAGCACCATAAAACGAGCAGAGTCGACGACAGCATCCTGACGATAGTGCAGAGTAATACAAACGAGCGCAACTATCTAAAAACGGCTGGGCTCGGGCACCACCATACAAGATTTGTAGATGGATTTTCAGATGTCCTTAACACATTGCGGCAAAGGACGTTGGATGCCGTAGATGTAGTGTTGGTGGGTGGGGGGTGCTGTGCGTAGGTCCCGGATGCGAGGATTGGAGGCAGGGGGAGGGGTTGGTTGGGCAGATTATAGTGGGTACGTGGCGTGGAATCGTTGGCGGTTACCTAGGCCATGTAAGAGAGAGAGGGCAGGGGGTGATGTGTGAAAAGGGGGAAGAACCCGCTGCTGGTTTTTGCTGCAGAT